GTTCTGGATCCGTATCCAGACATGTCTGGATTGATCAAGTTCAAACTTCACACACACATGGTACATCATGTCACAAATAGATATGTGCATTTGTTTCATGATCTGCTTAACAATAGCGGAATGATGGCCATTTTAAGGCCGAAAATGCATCAAAATCACGTATTTTCACAATTCCAGAACCGGATCTCAGTCATGCATGGATGGATTTTGTTCAGATTTAGCACAATGTGTTGTACATATGCAGGTGCATTTCGGTCATGATCTGCTTTGAATGTATATGTCATTCAAATATGAACGGAACGGGGACGTGTCATTGACAATGACTTGTTTCATTTATTGCTAAATATTGACATCATATTACATTTGTTCAGATTTAGCACAATGTGTTGTACATATGCAGGTGCATTTCGGTCATGATCTGCTTTGAATGTATATGTCATTCAAATATGAACGGAACGGGGACGTGTCATTGACAATGACTTGTTTCATTTATTGCTAAATATTGACATCATATTACATTTGTATTTGCAGCTTACCTTTAACCCACAGGGTACCAAGTTATTAACAGCGAGTGCTGACAAAACTGCCAGATTATGGAATCCATTAACAGGAGAGTGTTTGCAAGTCTTGGAAGGCCACACAGATGAAATCTTTAGTTGTGCATTTAATTATGAAGGAAAAACTATTATTACAGGTAAGTTCAGTGAGTTGGTCGATATAGCAAAGGGACTCCCAAAATATTCATCATGGCTGTGACAGCATGTCAACCAGTATTAGTGGGTTGGTAGCTATGTTTGGTGACATTCTGCAGCCATGTGTTGCAATGTCTTTCTCATATGTACACGTCTAACCATTTGCTGTTAATACTTTCTCTGTAGGTAGCAAAGATAACACTTGTAGGATATGGCAGTAACCAGATGCGCAAACAGACCACTGCATGTCAACTAACAATTTGAGAAGAGACCAAGAGACATGTACATGACTGAATCATTGTGACTTCACAACAGATGGAATCCTTGTATTGATTGGCAATTGTCTTGTCTATTTTTACTCAGATATTACATAATGATGTGCTTGGTGTCTTTAGTTTTCTTGTAAACAAGTACTATAAAAGCTATGCATACATGTAAGTTATATCGTTTTATTTCCAAATCGTGTGTATTTTGTGCTTGCACCATTCTAATTATTTACATGCATATTGTGGGGGTTTTTTTTGCTGAACTGCAAATTGTTAGAAGATGGTTCTACTTCTGTTAACAGACGAATAATTGGATGTTCTGTGGGACATCATAGACATGTGATCAGAATAGTTGAAAACTTAGAATGACGACATGTATATATTTTGTGTAATACTTCATAAAGACCCATTGTAATGTTCTCATCTTATGATTGCAAGTATTAGTAATATATTTATTTTTATTGTTCTTGTATTTACTCTGCATTTGAGTAATTCATTCTACATGTACCACCCTTATTTCTTAGAAACAATTCTTATGATAAAAAGCATCTATTTTAAGAAATATTATCTCTTATTTCTGTTCAATAAAATCTTTGAAGGTACCAACTTTTTATGCTAAAGATGATAACAGGCTTGACATCTACAGCTGTGATTTTCTTCAGAGATTTCATCTTGGTATTTTGACTTTGGATAGAACATCTGTAAATATTCTAATCGCAGGCTGGTAGTTGAATACAAGTACTTACCGGTACTTCCCTGCTTTGACTGTATGCTAAGGACCAAGCATTCTCAGATGGATATTGTTGATAGAAGCACTAACTACAGTGGACGTTATGAACATGAATGACTCTGATAAATTAATGTTGCTGTGTATATGGATACATTGTATAAGCCCCCTATAAACTTAGTTGGTTACCTTTCTATTGTCTATTTTGTTTTCAATAATGCAGCTGTGCCTAAAATTTTGTAAATTGCAAATAAATAAAGTTGTTTTCAAATTTTCTCATGTCAATGTTAGGGGCACTATTGAATGATCTCGAGAATGACTGTAAGAAAGACAGAGAAATGTACTTTATTGGTGAAATCATAACATTTCTGACGATTGTTTAGACATATGTATTCCATATCAAATTGATTGAACATGTTAACCTTGGATAGCTAGTCAAAATTGAACTTACCATAAAAACTTAATTTTGTTAAATGTATCCTGTTAATTCATGGTGTCCATGCTCTAATTTTTTTATGCATAACATATATTTCCTTAGCAAGAAATCTCAATTCTATTGAATGGTTAATCTCATATATGGATGCCATGTCTTTGATTGGATAATTGCCTGACAGTGACCATGTGTCATAATTTCTGTACTGCCTTGGCAATTGGAAATTACAGTGACCCTTTGCTAAGTCGCTCCTCAGAAAGTCTCTGGTAGTTGGATGGCTCTCAAAAATTCTATTTTGCTAGCAGTTTGAAGTAAAAGGCAGAGTGTTTCGTTGCACAGTGTATTTAATTAGTCATTAAAGGACTGGAGGATTGAGAGAACCTACTGTGCATTAATTACTGACATACAAAGGGTGAAGACAGCCTGTCGCAAAGTGTTGACAGGGATGTAAAGTTGCTACTATACGTACTTCTGTCGACCGGTCCACCTTTGATATAGCTCGATAAAACTCACTGCAATGAGTTGAATCCATCACTCTGATCTCTAGTTGTCAACTGAACAGCATGTCTAAGTGGAAGCTATCCAGTCTGTCTGTATATAAAATCTTGTAGTGGTCGACTGTCAAGACGGATGAAACAAAGTCAAGGGTTGCATGTGATCTAGCGGTATGAGAGTCCACTATTCGTTGGTTGCAAAGAATGGAGAAAAGCTGAGAAAATTATCCGACAATAAAGACATTGATAAAGCTGTGATGTTTTTCAAAAAAGATAACATACTATAGGGGTAAATAATCCATACACCCACGACGTGACTGTATTTCAAACAAACTTGTACCGATATTATATTCTGGAGAAATGACATAAAATTCGAAATTTCGGCAAAGCAATGTGCTATATCCATAAATTTCATGTAAAGCCAGTCAATATCAGATCAATTGTAAATGTTCTGTTTTTATTTATTCAAAATAATGAATCACTATTTATTAAATCGATCCAAAAATATTCTTTTACTAGTAATTTGCATTAACTAATTTCCATCGTGTCCTATTGATTAAAACACTTGAAAACAATTATATTTACTATCGTAAATTATTTTCAGTCTTTATCAGCAATTCTTACAACAAATATTAGAAAGGCATTTATTTCAAATGTATTTTTATGTACAATAAATTGTTTACATGCAATATATTACAATGACAATATAAGAATAATATACAAAGAATGTACCTGTGTATGGCACTGCTTCTGAAATGCTAAAATCAATACCAGCAGATGGCATATAAACATTCACTTAATGTTGTCAAATAAATTTATTTTTGCCTCAATATTTTTTAAACAAAATAGATTGGTTGAAAACTATGATGTTCACATTCCTCAAACACATCAGCCTTGTTATCAGAGTTGTCCTTTCATACTAGAGTGGTATCTACTGCCAGACAATACATGTGCCATCTTGGCTACCTGTAAAATAAAAAGCATTGTTATATGCAGATAAAAAAAGTTTTATTGAAACTATAATGGCTGCCAGTCAGTCATCTTGACTCTGATAGTGAAACAAATACAGATGCAAGTCTAAAATATGGTGTGCAGAGTGACTTGTATTGGAAATAAATGGACTACCTGGTAATGTTAATACTCACCAGTTATAATAGTACTACCACTGTAATTATATTGACAACATGTAATATTTTGTGTATGTGCTTGTAGTACCTGTACACATTCAGTATTCTCCACATTCCATAGTCTAACAGTCATATCAGCACTTGATGTAAGTAGCTTATTACCTTGTGGATTGAACATCACCTACAATAAAGCAAATCATTCTCTCACAAATGCATCCACAAATAAAACTTATTGCAACACATTGAAACCAATTTGCTTCTGTATCAATACTGCAAACTTTTTGAGAACAGAGAGAGCTGTTTATTCACAGATATAATCTGGTGGATACAGACGGAATGCTAAGGCCTCTCACTGATATCACGAGTGATGAGGTGTATTCTGTGGTTATATTTTCAAATACAAACACTGCATCAAGGTTTTATTCACTAATCTAAATTTGGGTATTTTATTATTCATTACACAAATATTATTTAAAAATATCCAGTATTCTCCCCAGGAGAACAGGGTTTTCGTACCTCCTGCCACGGTAAGGGACTATTTTATCTTGTCTATTACCCAGTAGTAATAGACAATACCAATGTTACTCCATGGAAAATGACCCAGTAATCCACAGTATAAAATACCTTTGTAATTTCTTTTTCATGACCGTCCAACTTTGCCATATTTACTTGAGTTTCTGTGTTGTACATATTGGCTACACCTGGTGAAAACCAAAAAATTTTGTTAAAATTATGAAGAGGTAATGGTTGGTGATCAGCACACAGAAAAATATAAGGTTATTATGAAGGAAAACAGTGGAAGTACGACTATCACACTCGCACATAATCATATTGGTATTTAGCATTTCCGCAATAAATGATATACAGTTTAGAAGCCTGAACACAGAATTGTTGGATCGAGTGATTCCAAAGTTGAACACTGTCACTGAATAGCCATGAAAAGTTGACAAAAAGTTAGTAAGAACCCCTCCTGGAAAGCTGTAGTCAGTACAGATTTGATTTATAATTAACAGCATCACAATATATACCAAAGAGAATGTATTTAATACAATCTGATTGAAGTTTTTATTGAACTTTTATTGATATTTTTAGTTCTAGCTTACACAAATTTAAGACAAACGGTAACCGCTATATATGAAAGATGAGGAAAGTTGGTGGAATATTGTACCACATTCACTTATGGCAATATAAATACATGTCTTAATTGTAGTCTCAAATGTTAATCCTTTCAGAAACAACATTGAATGTCCAATTATTCTTACCATCCATTGATGCTACCACCATAAACTGTCCAGTAGGGTCAAAAGTCATATCAGTTATCTCACTCTCGCACAATATGGTTGCTATGCACTCAAATGTCATGCTATCCCATAATTTACAGGACTTGTCTTTAGATGCACTGACAAGAAGTTTGCCATCTGGACTGTATACAATATGGCTGACCATATCATCATGACCAATCAGTGTACTCAAACAGCTGAGAATAATAAGTAAATGAATTAGATACATGTATAAGACTTGTTGACAACATCAGTGGTATAATGCAAATTGCACTCCGACTGTATTGAATTGAGATGTACGTGCTGCAGCATAGCTATGGCATGAAATGTATAAAAAGAAGACACAGGTGAAAACATACAAACTCAGCCTGTGACACTGCATCTTCATCTAGAATCATTGGTACAAATTGGATAAATGCAATTTTTTAGAAATTCAATCATTTTTGGGTAAATATGAAATTACTGATTAAATCAAATAATGAAAAGATTATCCTTGTACTTTCATAAATGACCCTAACCTGTGAAAATCTTGATGAGATGTAAAGGAGTAATCATGTCTTTAAAAAGAATCTATCAATCTCCGGAATTGAGATTTTAATCCAGCAAGTAAAATTGCTGTGCGATTACAACTAAACATGTATGTATGAAAAGAAATATTGATAAAATAATTATTATGATAATGATATTCAATAATTACCTGCCAGTTTTTACTTCATGAATGGATATATTATTGTCTGGACCTCCAAAGGCAACTTGATCACCATGAGGGTTAAAGGTCATAGCAGCATTATAACCCTTGTGAATGAAGATTGGAATTCAATCAATTTATTGATTTGCATGTAATTTGATAAAGGGTGGTAGTCGGTGTGCCACACATGCGCGAAATATATGCAGAAAGTTTTTGGCCTTTGTTTTTACCGTGATTGTTGCCAGTCAGTGAAAATGACTGGATGTACGCCCCAGGAATTGGATTGTGGGAATATCAATGTTTATCAACACAAATGTTTCATATGCGCAGTGCGAAGAACACCGCCCTTTAAATGATTGACAATACTATCATTTAGAATATTTCAACAAATTCCATTCCAGTGATTTTCCATTCACTGTGAGACCTCACGTACACATAATGCAAACTAAACAGATCAAACGTTTTCTGCAAAAATCAAATGATTTAATTTTAAAATTCAATTTTTCTTTCAATATCCAAATGCCTATCTTTCAGAGAGGAATGTTGAGGCATCCTTATTTTATTGACCATCATCAACTGTGTATAGCACATAAGTATGGAAATTAATACCCAAAAAATAATTGTGCATTTGTTGAATCCCATGCAATGTTTTTACACCACTACAAAGTACAGATGTTACACATAAAATAGGATCTCACACTGAAGGGGAATTAGTCTATTGTGACTATATGAATACTTTATTGTAAAGTAGCTATAAACTATACCAGAATTGTATGAAGTAATCTGCCTGTCTGTACATCCCATAATTTCACTGTTGTATCAAGACTGCCAGTCGATAGTAAATGACTTTGTTTATTGAATTCCAGACACACCTTTGAAATAAATATGTAAATATTTTTAAAACATCACAAACTGATTATGGTTCATTATACCGGTATCAAAGCAGTCCACACTCCTTTACATGGTTGTAACTTTAGAACTGACAAACCAAGAGCTATTAGCTTATATCAGTGACAAAATGAATGTATGCAGTTTTTGCATTCAAAGCATGATCTGCAGTACAAAATAAAGACAAGGTACTCACAATGTGATCTGTATGTCCTGTCAACGTGTGGGAGCATTCACCACGTTCAATGTTCCAAAGTTTACATGTGTTGTCATGAGAACCAGATGCTATTATCTCTCTGTAAATAATTTAGTCACAAATTAAGTTATTACACTGCCATAAGGTAAGGTAACATACTTATAAAAATGTATAAATCCAACATTTTTAATTTGAAATCATTCAAATTCAAACTAAACGATTAGCCGACCAAGTATTCTGTGAGCTTACATCAATGCATATACATGTACTGTGCACAACTGGGATCATTACTCGCCTTACTTTATGGCAGTGAATTCTGTAAGATTTCTCATGCAGCAAATAAACATTGAAATACAACATGTGCATTTATTGCAACATACCCATTGGGAGAAACTGCTATGGCAGACACAGCATGTTCATGCCCTTGAAGTGTTGTGATTTCCTCCCCTGTTGTAAGATCCCATATTTTACAGGTATTATCTTGGCTTGCACTCACAAACTTGTCACCATTAACCATAACACAAATACCGGTAACTGCTTCAATATGCCCTTTAAACTCCTGAAAAAAATGTTTTTATGCAAATCATTCATTTATTCATAGCAGTCAAAAGAAGAAATAATATTTTTCTACAATTTATAACCAAATATGTTATACATATGAATGGAAACACACATAAATATTACAGTCCTGATTGGAATAAAATAATGAAAATAAATTTAACTTAAGACTTACTTTAAATAAAAAAAAATAGAATAAATAGATGTGACAACTGTCAGCAAAGTAACCTTAAACCAGAAATAGCAGAGAAATACCAATTAGAACACAGAAAACTAATGATAATCATTAAATCAAAGAAAACCTTAGAAATAATTCATATGTAGCTAAGAGTATTTGAGGCATTAAGTAGAAATATTTACTATATTAGAAGCACATCTCCAAAAAATTGAAATATGCCTCATTTTGATGATAGATTTGCATTTGAATATATGATTGTGCTTCCAATAGAGCAAATACGAAAACTGCAAGCCATGATGCAAGTGGTTCCCAGTGGCTATGTTATACTGATGAATTAATATCTTTCTAATATATATCTTATCCAACAACATCATTGTGATATTGGGTGCATGTGCCTACATTTGTATCTGCCACAGTACTTGAGATATTACAGTTATGCTAATAAATGAAGTAACATTACCATAAATGTATATGGTCAAATGATATGTTAGTCACATGTTTTATATAATTCCCTCACAGTATTGCACTGGTTGCATGTACCCACCGTTAATAGTGCTAGGGATATTACAGAAATATTAAGCTAAAATGTAGCTAATTGTTATGCAAATTAGGTAATTAGTATGCAGATTTCAACCCAAAACTACTCAGCTCTGGGTATTGTTCAAGAGCATCTATCAGCCAAGGTTCATTGAAATGTGATGATTAGTTCTCAAGAAGTCAGTAGAAAAGCTGAGAATTATTATGCATAAATACATACAAATAGACAAGCTAATTCTAAAGACTTTATTTATGCTATGCACACAGGAGTCAAAAATCCAAAACCAATCCAATATTGCAATCTTTTTATTAAAAACATGTCATACTTTCACAATTGTTATGTATGTGCTTTTATAGAGGAAAGTGCTATTGCCTGATCATAAGACCAGTATATAAACCCCTTGAACTTTCACCACCCTTCACCTATTTGAAGAAATTGATGTCACACAAAATTAATGAGTTAAATTTTGCCATTTACTGAAGTGGATGATTGTCACTAATTTCCTCTTTCAACACACTATATTACTTTACTATAGAATATTTAATACCCCCGGTACTCACATTGAGAACTGAGAAATTATTATTGTCATTGTTAGCTACAAGAATTCTTTCCAACAGTCTTTTCAGTTCAGTCTTTCTTGATTGTGTGATTAATCTATCTTTCCCAGCAATTTCTTCAGCTGTTTTGTCAAAATCAGTACTGATGGTAAAAAAAAAGAGAAGTGGCAATGATGAAAGTTAAGGTAACAAGCCATGCATGGCACAGTCCCCGTTAGTTATCAAATTTAAGATATATAGTTTTGTTTATAGTAATATAGCTGGAATATAACCATGTCAGGAATATGATTTTTTAACATTAAAATGATTGACAATTGTATCTGATCGTCAAAAAAGTACTTGTCCATATTGAGAGATATTGCTCTGGAACAGCATTCAAAATCAGCCATTTTGAATACATGTATATATATAACATGATGTATAACGAATATATGAAATTTTAATATAATCAGTCAAAGCATGTAAGAGATATGGCTCTAGAAGCCCAATCATTAAAACAAAATGGCCGCCAGACAGCCATTTTGAATTCGATCTGAAAAATAAATGATGTGCATCAGGAACCTGTAATGTCTAACATATGTACCAAGTTTGAACAAAATCCATCCATAAATGTTTGATATTTGATGATTTTTTAGCCACAAAAATGGCCACCATTTGGTCATTTTGAATAGGATCGTCAAACCAATAAATCTGTCTATCTATGACATGATGTATATTGAAAATTTAAAATTTGAACATAATCAGTGAAAGCAAGTCAGAGATATGGCACGAGAACCACATTCATTAAAACAAAATGGCCGCCAGTCGGTCATTTTGAATCTTATCTGAAAAACAAAATTATTTGCATTAAGGTCCCATAATGTCTAATGTATATACCAAGTTTGAACAAAATCCATCTGTAAACAGCCGAGAAATGCTTGATTTTGATGATTTTTTAGCACAAAAATGGCCGCCATTCAGCCATCTTGAATCAGATCGTGAAACAAATTGACGTGCATATGTATACTATCATGTATGATGTATGTGTGAAGTTTGATTGTGATTGGTCCAGGCATTTCTAAGATACAGGTCCGGACGCACGCACAGACGCACAGACACACGCACGCACGGACACACGGAGGTCAAAACATAAGTCCCCGTTTTCGGACTGCGTTCGAACGGGGACTAACAAAACTAAGAATTAAGGTCTTATTGGAAATTCTTATGATAAACTATTTATGAAACAGTGCTTTAACATGCTTCCTTCTTCAAGAAATATCCATTTTTTCTCAAAAAAAATATTTTGTACTGGAAAAGTTGTTGAAACTACTAATTGCAATAAATAATTTCAAAGCCTGTCTTGCATATGCATTGTATTTTGTCAAAAGTTGCTCTATTTATATACATGAAATGATAGAAATCAATGGTAAATGTCACAAAAATTGTGTTGTGCAAAAAGTAGTTTGCTGACCACATATTTTTTTTCTGGGTTTGTGAACAAAAACATAAAAATTAATATTGTAAGAGTCTAGCAAGTTTGACATCAGTTTTAATGGAAGCCATGTCATTGCACATAAAACTAATGTTTATAATTATGTATACTTACTCTTTTGTAATTTCTGGAATTTCCAAATCTTTCACTTTGATATTATCTTTTTTGAATTGTTCATATTCAAATGAAATTCCTGTGGAATAAAATTGATTATTTTCTACAGACAGTTTTCTAGTAACACTGGGGTTAACATGATAGTGGTCAGACTTGTATACCATGCTATGTGTGACATCAGTAGTTGTTTTCACCAACTGCAGAATCACATAGTGCTTTAAGACATGCATATACTGAATCAATTAAAAAACAGATGTTCTCAATATTTCTATCACAGGCATGTACCTGATGAGGTATCAAGAACTGTCTCCCATCTTAATGTGCAATTTAATTGCGTCTATTTTCTGTATTTAGTGTATGGCTATATTATTATTATATACATCAAAGATGTAATATTCCCCTCAATCTGTCACATGGTGAATTAAAATTGTCATTTGCACTCTTTTCCGAGGGGGTGCTCTGGCCACAACACCAATTTCAAATGAATGACTCCTAAGATAAACACTTCTAGTGAAAATAATTGTAACAGTTTCATATTTATGAAAGTTTTCTAATAACAACATATATGTAGTTGATAATCAAATAAATAAAACAAGAAGTTTGCATGTTGCATTATATACTAGTAGCGATTATTGTGTGGTGATGTAGGCTGGCATGGCAAGAGATGACAAGCATACAATGGTGTCAATTCACTATGCATGACAAACAAACAGCTGTCCATTACAGCAGCTTGGCTATAAAATACTTAGCCTTAATACCTATAGAAGAGTAAAATAACATTTAATACACAATGTAGGATTAGTGATATTCATGGTTGAGTTATTGGCTTGTTACCCTCTCCTATTTCACTAAAATATTCAAATTAAGATTACCATATTGGACTTGTATACTCCCCAAACATATTACAAAATGAGTGAATTTGAAATAATAATTTGACTTATAGTTCACAGAGTAGGGTAATTGAACTATAGTAATGTAATGACAACATTACACTTGTACAATTTATGTAATGAGGCTATAAAAATACTATATACATATATACCATCATGTGTTGTTTTACAAGATTACTTAAAATTTCATCATATAACCAATTTTTTCTGATGATCATTTCTGTTCAGACAATTGAACATTGATAACATCACCTGCATTAAACTAGAAATTAAACAGAATTGACATATTTTCCAGTTCGATGGCTGAAAATAAATGCAATAGCACATATAAGCACACCAAAGGCTGTTGTGGCATAAATCACCAAAACACAATACTAAAGGTGTGTTCTTTGTTGTAGTTGAGGTCATGTATTGAATACAAGCAAACCAGACAACATGATACCACCTTTTGTGCACAATTCATGTTAGTCATACAACCACAGTCACTGTGTATACAATACATTCTTTTCATGTGAATATACAATCAATATAACATTCCCTTTTACCAAACATTGTTGCTAAGTTCTTTGACTATTATTTTTATTTAGACCCGTATTCTGTTCAAATTAAACTCACAACAATTTCTATTTAAAGTAGCATTGGACCCCTTTGACTTGACTTTGAAACATTTGTGATGATTTTGACTTTGATGCATGTCATCAAAGCCATCACTCAGGGAGGGGGTGTTGTTATATAATTCACTTGTATTTTTATAATTGTACAGTGACTCAAAAAATTGCTACCTAATGTAACTATGTCTGTTGTTTCATGGTGTCGTAACTATAATTATAATAGAAACACATGTATACTGCTCAAATCATCAAGAGACTTGCAATATGTGTACAATAATATTATCAGAATCACTTTAAATAGTAGTGCATGATTTATATTTGTGTTGAGGTTTATCAAATAGTCAATTAAAAAGCCATTCGACACAATTATAACGTATTAATTGCTCGGGTAATTAGACGCAATACTGTACTGCTGCTAGGCAACATGGCGCCACATTGAAGTCATGCACAACAAAATAATTCATTTGGAAACAAACCATGATGATATTAAGAACAATCAATATAAAAGAATATTTTTCAGACCCTGGTATTACCATGACAACACAATATGCTTCGTTAAGTGATGTAAACAAACGCACTGTCCGCATCATTGACAGTGGTCATAACGAGATAACACATACACGTACATAAGTAATAACTCCCTTGAATGGTACATGTAGAAATACACTACGCAATTAGAAAGAACAACATTCAGAACTTACTTTGCTGTTTGTAATCAACAATAAATCTTTTCAGCTTTTTGTATCCGATGAACTGGACTCTTCTTGTGCTCATGGTCTCCATGATTGTGGGATTCTGAGCGCAGTATACGCGCAAACAGAATCCGACAGGTGTTTCGATCTCCCTATGTTACCCGCGAATTTCCAATATGGCTACTTTTACGGGGGGGGGGACGCAAATATACACTTGAAAATCGGAACACATATTCAACAGGAAATTTTGCATAAATAAAAAAAAATGTATATACAAATACGGCTATGCAGATCCGATTAATTTTCCTAAACATTATGCATAAATATAAGGCCAAACAAATAGTTTCTGGTCAATACATACATCCGTTCCAAAGGTGCCCGTCTCACTTGGGGGGGGGGGGGGGGGGGGGCAAAATGCAGCAAAAACGAAAGAACAGAACAAGCACTTCAAAAATAAGAAACTAAAACACCTGAGGAAGAATCTTATAAATTATTAATGTGCTTGAGGCATACAATGTTAAAATAGATAATGAAAATAATTCAAAATTTATTTACAAAAAGCCTTTTAAACTATAAGCCTTAGCGACTTATATATGTATGGAATATGTGAAAATAATAATATTATAATAATAATTATACAGTTGAGAAGATAAAATAATGTATAGACGGTTTACTCCACAATATTGGTAACATCAACGTCATTTGTGTGTATTGTAATGAATATACATATGACCTGGTTAAATCTCATACAGATGGAGAACTTTATCGTTTTGTCCCGATCTGATTCAAGTTGGTCGAATTGCGGCCATTTTTGTGCTGAAAAATCATCAAAATCAAGCATTTCTGGATGGATTTTGTTAAAATTTCGTACATACGTTGGACATTTTTTTTTTCAGATCGGATTTAAAATGGCCGACTGGTGGCCATTTTGTTTTAATGAATGCAGTTCTAGTGCCTCAAGGATGGAAAACTGCTTTTTTTTATTGCATGACTATTGATTACAAATTCAGATCCAAGGATGCCTGGAAATATAATTCTGTTGTACCATTTTTCTGATGTTCTTCAAATCTACACTTCCACTTGGGGGTTATTTTACCATAGGTAGAACGTTTTTGGCTTCAGATACTGATGGAGACATTTCAATTTTGTTTTGATAAGAAATGTACATTTCTCTGGTTGGTCTTGACAGCCATACCAAACTGTATGGTACCCGTACCAGATGTAAAGCCCAGTACTACTTTCATGTGCTGGGTCTGGGTTAGACTGTGACATTGACCAGAATACACAGCTTCAGGCATGTTTGGAAAGGCCATCTTGAATGAACAATCTTTTTTTGTAAACAACATCACATTAAAAGTAGACTTTTGAAAACAACATCACATTAAAAGTAGACTTTTTTGATGCTAAACGATTCACATAGCACTGGAGACTGCAACAGTTCAGTAAACCATTAAAGCACATGGATGTCACTAAGGTGCACAGAAGGCTTAGGTTTTATGCAGCATCAACTTCACATTATAGTTGCATGGTATAAAAAATCTGATTTTATCAGGGGTTGCCATCATGCAGTTTTCACTGCAAGTCATGCAAGGTACCAGCAGGTCAAAATTAGGAGCAGGTTATATAAATCCGTATTTGATTATTAATTAATAATAAATAGTGGTAGTAACTGGCTAGTGATGACAAAATGATTGATGAAGGTATCATGATAATACAAACAAAAGGATGACAGTTTTTGTATGAAATGAATCAAATAAAAGAAAAAAAACAATTGTCAAGTATATTATATTTGACCATCTGTTAGAAATCAGAACAGAAATGGAAATAACAATTCCTGGAAGTGTAAGTTGTCAATACAGAAATAATTTTTTTTCACATATTTATTATACTTATTACAAGAACCACTATTCGGATTTAATTGGTACTTGAATGCTGTACAGAGCAGATTGAGATTTGAATAATAATCAGGAAACCTTTTACTCTTGCACTGATTACACAACCAATTTTTTTCTATTGTCATAATGTATACAGTTTTCTTTTTCTATTGGGGATCCAGCTACATGTATATCAGGTGAAAGGCTTGTATTTGTATGCTAAATATTTTTTATTTCTGTTAACATTTATAATTGTAGTTGATGTTACAACTTTGTATTTCATTATCTTTTTTGACATCTGAAACATACTGGTTTCTAAAATATTCCACCTTGGTTCAAGGTTTTCCAGTTGTTAAATCCTAAAGAACAAGGCGATTATTTTTTCTATCTGCAGGAAGTACTACGTGAAATATTACAAAATCAGGTGTTTTTAAAATTAACTTTTTATTGTATGCATACAAACTATTTATCATCAATCAAAAAGTAGAACAAAACAATTATCATTTCAATGACAAACAAAATGTTCATGAGCTGTACATGATACTATGACAAATTAAAATAAACTACCGGTGGTAACCTGCATATTGATTTAAATAAAACAAACTGTCTTGAGCCTTGTCTAAGTTTATAACAATATGGATGACAGAATTCATTAAAAAGTCAACTGTGACCACACAAACACACACACACACAGGAATACACTACACTAAAATAATCTTACAAAATCTTTTCACACCACACATTAACAGAGAATTTCTAAATCGTATGAACAAATACAGATTTGTTTATCATCAGAGAAAAAAAACTGCTAAAGGTTTATTAAGGCTTGGCCAATTCTTCTGATTGTTCATTTTCATCTGAGAAAATTCATAATGAAATTTTGGACAGGTGAAAATACCGGTACAATTTCTGTTTGTTCTGATTGCTGTCTGCTGTGACTTTATCATGATTAGGCGTTACCTTGACTCAATTAATGTTGGCTACTACAAAACATTCATTTCTTGAATGGCTTTTTAAATTAAATATGATCTATTGATGTGCAAAGTGTGAATGAAAGACAATTCTTGCATGTAATGCACAGCAGAAATGTACAACATTGTTAATTGTGGATAAAGATTTATCTCATTTTGGGGCAATGGTGGTTTGTACACTGCTGGTGGAGTAACCGCACCACTATATATATTCAAAGTGCCTGAGTAAGGTGGTGGTAATTGGTCTGAGTAAGCTGGTAATGCAGTACCTTGACGAGATGAATGTCTGAAATTAAACAAGACTTAGAATTAAATTATGTTTCCTTACTTTTGAATTCATGATTTTAGAAAAAACTGTGACGAATGGTAAGACCAAAAAATATATAGAATTTAAAATTTTGGTACATGTATAGTCCTTTATAATTACTCAATATAACCAGATGTTTTGGCAATGAATCATCATCAGTGTTATTTATTCTAATACAACTGATGAAGAATGATTGCTTAAAACATCTAATTATTTTGAATAATTGTCAATGACAATGGTACATCATTCCATATATCACAATTAGATTTATCTTTGTGATAATATAATCAAAATTAACTTGGTAAAATACTCATTCCACTTGTTGATGTCTTTGTAGTGGAACATCAACAGTTTTGTTTCTTTGACCAGCTGTGATATTTTTAATACAGTAGTAAAATGAAAATATACATAGACATAACATAATTAAACTGCCAATAAAAATAGCAATAATAATACCAGCACTAAATACGATGCTTGAATGATCTATTGAAAAAAATAGATAAAAATTTTATTAGTGGACTTAAGTAAAGAAAAGTCAACAACAATATTGTTTGAGGTTATTAAAAGAATTAATACTGTAAAGCAAGCATAAATGAAGTACTGGACATAATGGAGATGATGTGGTTCCGTATTCTGATATAATCTTGTGTATTTACAATATGTTACATAACTATGGGTGTCTTGCCTCGTGAAATAATTATCTAATTGTTTTTCTAAGCAAAGATGATATGTACCAAACATTAAACAATAGTGCTATAACACTAGTTTTTCAGAGATTGTTGTCCATGCTACTTTTGCAGTAAATTTGTGAAAACAAGTCATTTTCAAAACAAAAAAATGATTCACTTGAAAATAAGTCCAACATTGCCACAATTTTAGCAATTTTGAATCGAATAACAAAACAATCAGCCCTGCCATCTCTACGAACTGGCTGTGGGAATATAATAGCTGCAAGTATGTCATCTTTGATTCACAATTTGAATGTCATGGACATGTTTTTCTACATGCATAATGTAAGTACCAAATGGGGTAAAAAAGGTTATGCACTCAAATTGGATAATACAAATTACTGGTCACATGACCAAATAATTTTTTTTTTTTAATGAATTTGTATGATCAGTAACTATGATTGAATAGGTTAGTCTATATATCATAGATGGAATGTGTGGTCCCTTTGGTTCTAACAATTAAATCTTATCTTGTATTCAACTAGTCAAATACACTATATATTTGTAATGAACTATTATTTGTAATCACCATGACGTGTTGTTTATAAGCACTGGTCGATCGACAACTGTATATTTTTTGTGTATTTGGCAAGTTCTAGCTGGTATTTCATGGTCGACCAAGAACAAGTACGATATGCATAGCATGTTTTAAATTGAGCATAATTAATGTTATTGTTTTGTGGTATTGCACTGGGTATTTTCATCCTACCATATTAGGAAATGCAAATATGGAGCGATTACGCGTATGAACATCCTCTAATATTAAAAACAAACATGGCAACCTCCAGGGTTTGACCGGACTCAAAAGAAGGAGTTTGCTGATTATGTTCTAAGCTTTTTGGATTTCGCCATTCCCATGACGTATTCTTAGATGTATGATAATAAGATTTTTACGAGGATACCGCAAAATAAGCACTCAGACAGTACGCCGTCACTTCAATACTCCTGCTGTACTGTCTTCGTGCATACATTTCGGTATCCTCGTAATAACCTCATACATGTATTATAGTTTTCTCATCAGCTATGAAGCCTTCCACAAACTTTGAACAAAATGAACAAATTCAAATCCTTGTAATATTAAATTTGTTCAACAATTGGTACTAAAGCCAGGCTTGAATTACTAATAGATATTACTGATAATGTAAATGCATTAATTTTTCAATAATTTATAACTTTTCTAGTTTTGCAGATTCTGTAAACATGCATGTCAGTGTGTTGCATAAACATTTTGGAATTTAAATTCCAGTGAA